TTCATCTTGGTCTCTCTATAGTTGCCTCTACCAATTTTACCATAATGATTGGCAATGGGGATCACATGTGTTGTTTTGGTTTGTGTGCAAATGTTCTTCTTCAACTAGATGGCCATGAATTTCTAATGGATTTATTTGTCCTACCAATTCATGGCATTGATCTTGTTTTGGGAGCACAATGGCTAGCGAGTTTAGGTCCTATCGTTATGGATCACAAGGCTTTAACCATCTCCTTCAATTGGAAGGGAAACTCTTTGACTTTGCAAGGCCAACAACCTCAACACATTCCACCGATTCAGTTACATCGATTAGAATGTTTGTTCAATATGAATTCCATTAATGAATCTTTCCAATGTTTTCATATTTCAGGTTCCATTTCGCCTGATACACAACTACAAAATTCAGCTCCTACACCAGCCATCAATAGCATTTTGACACATTATGGGTCAGTCTTTAACATCCCTATAGAGCTGCCTCCTCAACGCCGTAGTGATCATCAAATTTCTTTCCCAACCGCTGCCCCACTTGTTCAAGTTAGACCGTATTGGTATCCCAATTTTCAAAAGGGTGAGTTAGAGTGCATGGTGCGCGAAACGCTAGAGAGCGGGTTTATTCATCCAAGTTGCAATCCTTTTTCCTCACTGGTTTTATTGGTTTAAAAAACGTGATGGTTCATGGCATTTATGCATGGATTATAGAGCCTCGAATAAAATTACCATTCTTGACAAATTTCCCATTCCTACGGTGGATGAGCTTCTGGATGAATTGTTTGGTGCGACTATATTCTCTAAAATTGATCTTCGTTCTGGTTACCATCAAATCCAAATGGCAGAGGAGGACATTTTCAAAACAGCATTTCGCACCCACAAGGGTCACTATGAATTTGTGATGATGTCATTTGGTCTCACTACTAACACTCTGACAACCTTTCAGAGTACAATGAATGACGTATTTCGTTCGTTCCTGTGTAAGTTTGTTATTATTTTCTTTGACGACATCTTAGTGTATAGTCGTGGGCTGGAGGATCATGTGCACCATCTTTCGACTGTACTATAGTGTTTGAGGGAAAATCAGTTGTTTTCTAAAAAGGGAAAAGTGTGTATTTGGTGTTAATCGTCAGGAGTACCCAAGCCATATTATTTCGGTTGAAGGGTAGAAGCTAACCTAGCAAAGATTCAAGCCATGTCTGATTGGCCTATTCCAAGCACAATACGACAATTCTTTGGCTTCCTGGGGTTAACTAGGTATTATTAGTGTTTCATAAAGTCTCATGCTATGTTAGGCACCCCTTACCTCCCTACTGTAGAAGAACAAGTTTGTGTGGTTTATAGAAGCTTAGAATGCTTTTGATAATCTAAAACTGGGAATGACTAAAGTGCATGTTTTGGCTTTACCGAATTTCCAAGACATGTTCGTGGTTGAAATCGATGCCTCGGGCACAGGCGTAGAGGTTGTTCTCATGCAACAAGGTCATTCGATTGCTTTCTTTAGTAAGAAACTATCGTCAAGACTACAACGAACTTTTGCATATGTGAGAGAGTTATTCGTAGTCATGAAAGCTGTGATGCGTTGGCATCAGTATCTCTTGGGATGTAAATTTCTTATCTACACTTATCAGCAGAGTTTACGATCGCAAGTGATTCATACACTCAAACAACACAAGTACCTCATCAAGTTGCTCGGCTTTGACTTTACCGTCACTTACAAGCTAGGAAAAGACAATGATATTGCCGATGATTTGTCATACCAACATGAGGAAACCAAGGAGCCAACAATATTTGCTTTAACAGTCCTGATTTTTGACATTTTACAGCAAAATTGAGAGGCTCTTCTTCAAGATGCCACATGTGCCAAGTTGATCACGAAGGTACAAAGGGACCCAAGTTTGCAACTGAGTTATTTTATTCATGATAATTTGTTGTTTTACCAAGGGCGTATTATGGTGCCACCTCGGGATGACTTGAGGCAACAATTATTGGAAGAGTTTCACTCTTCTCCCATAGGATGACCAGTGGCATTCGCAAGACGAAAAGTAGGATCGCCTTGAATTTTTATTAGAAGGGATTAGGCCATGATGTCAAATCCTTCATTCGTGCTTGCCATGTTTGTCAACAAGCAAAACACCGGGCTCTCTCTGTAACCCACCTTCTTCAACCCCTGTCAATTCCAGCTCAAGTTGGGGATGATGTTGCAATGGATTTTATTATTGGGTTACCTGTGTCAGCGAGTTATACAGTGATTATGATAGTGATTGATAGATTGTCAAAGTATGCACATTTTGGTCCATTACGCAAGGGTTTATAGTGGCCAAAGCTGCATAATTATTCTTGAATGTGGTCTATAAATTACATGGTTTACCCAAGTCCATATTAAGTGATCATGATCTAACTTTTCTGAGTACTTTTTGGCAGGATTTATTTCAGCTTAGCGGTACTGCACTTAGCCATGGTTTGGCTTATCATCCACAAATGCACAGCATAATAGAAGTTACCAACCGCATGTTAGAGCAGTCTTCCGTTGTTTCACTATGGACCAGATGCAGAGGTGGTTTGACTTCTTACGCAGAACTTTTCTACAACACCTCATTCCATTTAGCTGCGGGCATTACATCATTCAAGTTAGTGTATGGTCGAGATCCTGCTTTGATCTGTCTGTATGCTACAAGGGAATCTAAGTTGGATGCAATGGACAACATGCTTGCCACTTGTGATAGCATTCTGTGAGAATTGAAGTTCAATTTGCTTTGCACACAACAACGGATGGTACGGTCTGCTAACAAGCACAGACGTTTCTTGGAGTTTCAAGAAGGGGACTTGGTCTATTTGAAGTTGCAACCGTACCGGAAACTCTCTATTTGTTGTGGTATGTATTCCAAGCTAGGGAGATGATTCTATGGCCCATTTAAGATTCTCAAGCATGTGGGGAAGGTCGCCTATAAGCTGGAGTTACCACCAAACTCTCAGATTCATCCCGTGTTCCATGTATCCTTATTGAAACCAAGTCACACTGTGCCATTGTAGGATACAGTACGGCTACCGCCTTCGACGTATCAAGGTTAGCCTTTGGTTTTGCCTCTAGCAGTGGTTGGTTGCAGTACGGTGCGTCGAAAAGGTGGGTTGGTGGAGCAACTGTTGGTGTAGTGGGAAGGACTACCTTTGGAGGATGCGTCCTGGGGAGATGCTGCAAATTTGGTGGAGAAATCTAGGGGGTTGCCTTCCAACCTGAGGACAAGGTTGTGTCGGATGGGATGGGCAACGTTAGGGGATTGGAGGAAGATGCGGATGAAAATGATGAAAATGAAAGAAGAGTTTCAAGAATGGTTTGGCAGCCTCTAATATGGTCCAAGGATTATGCGGCAATGGAGGTAGTTTAGTTGGTTTTGGGTTCTGATAAGTTATTAGTTAAGTAGGATCTATTTCGTATTGGTTAATGGAAATAGTATTTTACATTAAGTAGGTTTCCTAGGGTCATTAGGAATGCTTGGTTTGTTAGGTATTTAAGAGTAGTAGTCTGGAAAATAGGGTATCGATTGAATTAATAAAAGTCTATTCTTTCTCTTTATTCATATGGAGCAAATTTATCTTAACATAATTGGACTAAAATTTTGAATATGTAACCTATTAAAGTAAGTACATAGTTTTGTCTCTTTCATCTAATTGTCTTGTGATCACATTGTCGCTTCCAACATAAACCCAAATGAATGCCTTTAAATATTTCATCTAATTCTTTCTTTCTTTTTTGTTCATATTTAGAATCACTTATTCCAGTAAGAATTTTTCTAGATTTGGTTCTGGGAGGAGGAAGATTGGGAGATGTAAAATTTGTCCTGAGATCTTAGTTGTTTTCACGGTGAGATTGGTGGAATGGAATGAGGCATTTGGCTTATGCAAAGGATTTTAACTATTTCAAAATAATCATCAAGCATTTATGAAACTCTTTTGATGCCAAATTGAACTAGGATTTTTTTTTTTCCTCTTTTCTCTTATAGAATTGTGGCCATTTTGGTACATAAGCAATTCAATTTGAAGAAATTGGTGAGAAAAAAAATTATTCCACGAGTTTAAAGATGGCCGAACGACATCCTCCCACCCAAACTTTGCCTTAAACAAATTTAGCATCCAAAAAGTTTTGAAATGACAAACAACCACTTTCCGTCAGAATCGGTTAGTAAAATCCATTAATTAACATGATATTAATGATATTCTTCCATTCTTAAAAGAGTAATTTTCACTTCTTAAGTTTTATAAAAACCCCAGTTTTTCTCTCACTTTCTTTCCATCTCATCCTTTCATCTTCTTCGCCTCCTCTTTCTCATATCTTTTTTCTTCTTCTCTTCGTTTCTTAGCTAAAATTATGAATCTAAAGATGATCCTAGAACGACAGAACTAATAACCCATTTCAAGGACTTAATACACAATACAAGGTGCAAAAAATTAAAAACAACAAAACACGGCATGGTTACAGAGTCGTTGAGTTCAAAAGGGTAGCAGCATTGGCTCTATCATCAAAGCTCCAAAGATCACCTGTTGAAGGTTGATGCTGTGTTGGAAGTACGGTTTGCTGAAACTGAAAGTCTAAAACCATTTTTGCTGCTGTACATGGACGTGCATGGAGTTGTTCCATATTTCAGTAGTTTAAGTTTTACTGTAAACCTTAGTGTTAATTTTGAATTTGATGACTCAGCTTATTTTGTAATGAAGTTGTTAGACTTGAGTGGTTTAGCTGAGATTAATTAAAAGCTTACTGACAGTAGTTGAAACAGTAAGCCAAAGTATGTTATATGCAGATTTGTTGTCTAATGAAAATCAGTTCAAATTTTCCTTTCCATTCTCTTTTCTTTGCACATCCGGCATTAACAAAAACACTAACATGGTATCAGAGCTGGATCAACCACCCATCATCTAACAAATGCACTCAAAAAAAACTCATCCTAAATCACCATCAAACTTTAATCTTCCGCAAGAACAAAACTTTCCAGAAAAACTGCAACCAGTTTTTGCATGGCTACTCAATCGGCTTCTCTCTCACCTCTAGTGTTCAATGGGGACCAGTATCACATTTGGGCTATTAGAATGAGAGCCTACCTAAGAGGGCAAGGGTTGTGGCAATATGTGGAAGAGGAGAAACAGCCACCACAGCTTGGTCCAAACCCAACTTTGAATCAAATGAGAATGCATGAGGAGGAAATGTCCAAAGCTCCAAGAGCTCTTTCTCACATATATTCTGCAGTAACAGACCTTGTATTTACAAGGATAATGGCGTGTGAAACTGCAAAGGAAGCTTGGGATAGATTGAGAGAGGAGTTCATGGGAAGTGATACAACCCGAAACATGCAAGTTATGAACCTGCGGAGAGAGTTCGAAATGCTGAGAATGCAGGAGGTAGAGAAAGTTAAAGAGTATGTAGATAGGCTTATGAGTGTGGTGAACAAAATTAGATTGTTAGGAGTTGAGATGAGTGACAAGATGATAGTTGAGAAGGTGTTAGTCAGCCTACCGGAAAGATTTGAGTCCAAGATATCTTCCTTAGAAGATTCAAAGGATCTCTCCAAAATCAGCCTCACTGAATTAGTTCATGCCCTGCAGGCCCAAGAACAAAGAAGGTTGATGAGGCAAGATGACTCAAATGAAGGCGCTATGTTGGCTACTCAAAAAGGAGTGAATGTGTAGGGAAGTAATAGAAAATATGCTGGAGATAAGAGAGGAAAAGAGAGAGTTTGTGGACAGTGGGGAAAGTAAAGTGGAGGAAGAAATTATCCACCATGTTCCCACTATAAAAAAAAGGGACATCCAGATAGTAAGTGCTAGTTCAGGCCTGGGATCCAATACAGGGGATGCAAGCAGTTCGGGCACATTGAAAAAGTGTGCAGGAACAAGGGTGCACAGCCACTACAGTAAGCACAAAGTGCAGAAGACCGGCAGCAGAGTAGTGAACCAGAACAGCTATTTGTAGCTTCATGCTACTCAATGCAGACCAGCAGAGATGTTTGGCTGATAGACAGTGGGTGTACTAACCACATGGCAGCAAATTTAGAGAATTTTATTAGGATGGACAGGACCTACAACTCCAAAGTCAAGGTTGGAAATGGTGACTATGTGGAAGCAAGAGGGATTGGAGATGTGGCAGTCCAAACTCAGGCAGGGACCAAGGTTATTTCCAATGTTCTATTTGTACCTGAAATTGCACAGAATTTGTTAAGTGTAGGTCAAATGTTAGAAAAAAATTACACCTTGCATTTTCAAAACAATGCTTGCATTATAAAGGATGGTGAGGGAAATAAATTGATGAGTGTTAGGATGCTAGGTAAAAGCTTTCCACTGGACTGGAAAAAACCAGAAAACTCAGCTTTAACCAGCAAGGTTGAAGAGTCTGAGTTATGGCATAAAAGGCTTGGGCACTTTCACTACCTAGGAATTAAAGAACTCAAGTCAAGGGACATGGTGTTAGACCTACCCGAGATAGAGGAGAAGAGGACCTTGTGCACAGCCTGCCAGCTTGACAAACTCAGCAGGCCATCATTACCTTCGGATCAAGCCTATCGAGCAAGTCACAAGCTGCAATTGATCCACTCGGATGTGTGTGGTCCAATGAAGACTGAATCCTTAAATGGCAGCAAGTACTTTGTACTCTTCATTGATGATTTCTCAAGGGTGACTTGGGTTTATTTCTTGAAGCAGAAAAATGAAGTGGCTACTGTGTTTAAGAAATTTAATTTGCTGGTGGAGAATGAAGCTGGAACCTTGATTAAGACAGTAAAGAGTGACAATAGGACAGAGTACACTTCAAATGAATTTAAAACAATCTGCAGTCTAGCTGGAATTCAGCAGCAGTTCACAGCACCATACACCCCTCAATAGAATGGTGTTTGTGAAAGAAGAAACTGAACCATTATGGAAATGGCCAGGTGTATGATGGCTGGAAAGAACCTTCCTAAAGTGTTCTAGGCAAAAGCTGTTAATACAGCAGTTTTCCTGCTGAATAGGCTACCCACCAGGGCAGTCAAACATCAAACACCAATTGAGGCATGGAGTGGAGTCAAGCCAGCTATAAGGAGCTTGAAAGTATTTGGAAGCATAGCCTATGTTATGATCCCAACTAGCAAAAGGTCCAAATTGGATGACAAGGCAGAAATTGGGATATTTATAGGCTACAGCAGCAACTCTAAAGCTTATAGATATATATTCCTAAGTCTAGGAAGATTGTAATCACAAGAGACATAAAGGTTGATAAAGGTGGAGTCTGGAACTGGGAAGAAAAAAGGGTTGATGTGCAAGCTAAATCAAGTCAGGATGAGATGAATGAAGGGCTGATTCAGATGAGGAAGAAGAACATGTTGTCAGAGGGACAAGATCACTGGATGATGTGTACGAAAGGTGCAATATGGCAGTGGTGGAACCAAGATGCTATCTTGAGGTTGCAAAGTCTGAACTGTGGAGGGCAGCATGATTGATAAAAATCAAACCTGGAAATTGGTACCAAGACCTGAAAAAAGGAAAGTCATTCAGGTGAAATGGATTTTCAAACTGAAAATCAATCCTGATGCCTCAATCTACAAGCACAAAGCAAGGCTGGTGGTGAAGGGCTTTGCACAACAACCAGGTATTGACTTTTCAGAAACTTTTGCCCTGGTTGCTAGGCAAGACACAATCAGGCTACTGTTAGCACTTGCAGCTCAGTTCAACTGGAAAATTTTCTAGCTAGATGTCAAGTCAGCATTCCTGAATGGGTGGATTTCAGAGGAGCTGTATGTAGAGCAACCCGATGGCTACAAGGTTGAAAGAAAGGAGGATTATGTGTACCTGCTGAAGAAAGCCTTGTATGGCTTGAAGTAGGCTCCTAGAGCCTGGTACAGTCGAATAAATGACCATTTGTGTAGCCTTGGCTACTCTAGAAGTCCTAATGAACACACTCTTTACATTAGGAAAACTGAAAAAGGATTGGCTATGGTTTCTCTCTATGTTGATGACTTATTGGTGACAGGGAGTAATCCTGAAGAATTGGATCAGTTTAAGTTAGATATGCAAGCTAAATTTGAAATGACAGATTTGGGATTGATGAAGTACTTCCTTGGCATAGAGATAAGTCAGGCTACTGGTGAGATTTTTGTGCGCCAATAGAGGTATGCAACCAAGCTTCTTTTGAGGTTTGGAATGGAGAATTGTAAACCAGTGAATACTCCACTGGTTCCCAACCTGAAATTGAGCAAAACTGATGGTGCAAAGAAGGTAGATAAAGGGAAATACAGAAGCTTAGTGGGAAGTTTGCTGTATTACACAGCCACTAGACCTGATCTAATGTTCACTAGTACTGCAAGCTACCTCTCAAGGTTTATGAGCAACCCAAGTGAATTGCACTTTAAAGCTACCAAACATGTGCTGAGGTATGTGAAAGGAACCAGCATGTTAGGCATCTGGTTTAGGAAATCTGAAAGTCTAAGGTTGTTGGGGTACACTGACAGTGATTGGGGTGGATCCCTGGATGATGCTAGAAGCACTTCTGGTTATGTGTTTTATCTGAATAAGGGTGCAATTAGTTGGCTGTCAAGGAAGCAGGAGACTGTGGCATAGTCTACTACTGAAGCTGAATATGTCTCTGCTGTAGCAGCTGTGAACCAGGCTGTGTGGCTTAGGAAGATGCTAAATGATTTGCATCAAATGCAAGGTGGTCCTACTTTGATTCTATGTGACAACCAGTCGGCTGTAGCAATGGCAAAGAATCCTGTACTCCACGACAGAACTAAGCATATTAAGATTAAGTATCATGCTGTTAGGGAAGCTGAACAGTGTGGAGAAGTGAACTTAGTGCACTGTAGAGGGGAAGACCAAGTTACAGACATCATGACAAAGGCATTATGCAAATCCAAGTTTGAAGCCTTAAGGCTAGAACTTGGTGTTTCCAGCCAAAGCACCAAGGTGGAGTGTTGAAGGTTGATGCTGTGCTGGAAGTATGGTTTGCTGAAACTGAAAGTCTGAAACCATTTTTGCTACTATACATGGACGTGCATGGAGTTGTTCCATAGTTCAGTAGTTTAAGTTTTACTGTAAACCTTAGTGTTAATTTTGAATTTGATGACTCAGCTTATTTTGTAATGAAGTTGTTAGACTTGAGTGGTTTAGCTGAGATTAAGTAAAAGCTTACTGACAGTAGTTGAAACAGTAAGCCAAAGTATGTTATATGCAGATTTGTTGTCTAATGAAAATCAGTTCAAATTTTCCTTTCCATTCTCTTTTCTTTGCACATCCGGCATTAACAAAAACACTAACATCACCAACAACACTTTCCTGGACAATATTATTGGGCATATGTGATTGGCCATCCAGATAGGGAATCTTATAGAACTTCGTGAAATTTTCATATGCACTTAGCTCTTGTGACAACTTCTGCACTTCATTCTCTTCTTCCTGAGCTTTTCGCATTTTCTCCTCTTTCACATTATAATTAATTGTGAAAATAGAATAATGAAAATTGAAAAGAGCATTTTTGGCTACATTAAAATTACCAACATGTCCTTCGTCAAACAGGTTTTACTAATTGATTCAGGCAGAAAGTGTTTGTTTGTCGTTTCAAAACTTTTTGGGTACTAAATTGTCTTTGAGGCAAAGTTTGGGTGGGAGGATGTTGTTCGGCCGTTTAAAGATTTCAAGATCTTCAAATAGATTTTTTAATTCAGATTCTTCATTTCCACATTAATTCACAATTTTGCTACCGAAGCCTTATTAGGGGAACTCCATTTTCTTTTCTTACTAGACACTAAAACCTTCTTGAACTGAATTTCCTGAAAAACTAGCATTCCATTTTGGAAGACAGGTGACAACAACTTTACTCCATTTTTACCATCTTTTCTGTTTCTTGAAGAATCATAATTCATAGTGGCAACTATTTTTCAGTTTCAACATACACAACCACATTGCAACTGATTTTTCCGGTGCAAAAAAATAAATAAATAAAAATTGAATATTAATAGACTGAAAAAATGGTTTACATCGTATAAAGAATGTCTGGTTTCAGTTCAATTGGAACTTTCTGTCACAATTTAATAATAAATCCTACAAAATCTCATAAAAATTATGAGATGATTCGCATATTTCTTCACCTAACTTAAGCATAGATCCTGAACTCCGTAATTTGTTGGCATGCTCGCGGGGAAGAGCATCTCTCTTACACCTTCAGCCTTTATAATGGGGAAAATTATACTTGTTGCATCCTGAAAAAAAAAAAAAAAATACATAAATGACATATTAGCGAAAAATTGAGTCCATTGAAAGATACACAGATCATTAAAAACCTATTGAGGCTGTCATTTCTAGTTACAAGTAGTAGAGATACGTACCAAAATCAATCTAGCACTAATTAACATGCGTTTAGGTGAAGGAAAGGGAAGTAATAAACGTCCCACACCATAGACTGCGACGGCAAAGAAATGTTTAACTAAGCTGAGTGGACGAGGATTTAGACCAGACAGTATAGCTATTGGTCCATTCGAGAAAGCACCTCCAAGGCTCAAATAGTCAAAACATGCTAGACGCAATTCATTTCTTGATGGGTCAGGTGATGCACAAAAAACCTTGTAGAGGGCACCTGCCAATGTATTTATCGTAGATGCCACTGGCTGCAAACAAGAATCATGTAAATTCAACTTGTTTGTATATCCTAGAATGATGATGCTATC